CCCCGGCGAGGACGAACCAACCTATTTACATGATGGCTCAGCCGCTGTTCAGGTGAGAAAGGTTGAATTTTTGCATAATTTTAGCTGATTGATCGATAATTTAATGCTGTGACGACCAGGTTGTTAGCGCAGGTTGGCAGAGTCGGTATTCAATAAAAAAATACAGAAGATGATCAGGCAAAAAAAATTAGTCGGTAGCCTTTTGAGGTAAGAAAAAAATCAAACAAGACACTATTGAGATGAATAAAGTTGCCCAGGTAAGTAGACCCAGCACAAGTTGACGATCAAACGAGCTGAACTGGTATTTAGGCAATCACCACCGTTGTTCAAGTGGCCATTGGTATTAGTCGGTAGTTTCGGCACTTCAAGTTGATTAAATACGGCAAGGCCATTATCAAGGTTGCCGGGACCCAAGCACTGATATACCAGCCCTTGAGAATGGTAATACATGCACGAAAGCTTTCAAAATTAACATGTGTTTTTCTTTTCCGTGTAGCTGAAACAAGCATTACGTTTTATATAAAATACACTGCAAATCTGACAAACGAGGTGAACATCTGAGCCAGAATTCATAAAGCATTTGTGCTTCAACTCAGAAAACCTGTACATCTTTCAAGTCCTGGGGGCTTTGTTTGCATTTATACAACAGTCTACGAGCTTCGGCCTCTCACGCGTGGGGTCGCCAGCGGTTCGAGTCTCCTAGAGCTCGGGTGAATGTAATGAGTCCTATACTATTGTGGTAAACAATTGATATGACTGGGTGTGAATCACCTAATTCTCCTGTGCTCGAGTGGCAGCCCGGGGGAAGGCAAGTTGCATTGGGTAGCGGTTAGCTGCCTGGGAATAGTTCCCTTTTAAGGCAACCCCAGTAGTGCAGTTGATAGAGCGACTGTCTCCCGTGCTGGAGGTCGGGTGTTCGAGGCTCCTATTACCCAGGTGAATGAAATGAAAGGCTCCTATTCACCCAGGTGAATATATGGATAAGGTAGTATCGATATATTTTTTTAAATGTACTCATATAAGGACAAGTCGGCAATTGCAGATTACTAAAGTAACAATTTTGTTCAGAAATAGTAAAGTAATTAACAAAAAATTTAGATTAGGAATTTTTTTAAATTGCTTAATGTTGTATGAAAGAGTTACTGTAGGAGGAGGGCTCGGCGAAGCTGACCGAGGGAGAACGATATTTGAATATTACGGTATTTCCTCGTATATTGTGAGATAAACTGAAACAGGAAAATCTCCCCTGATGGAACAATATTTAGTAAAATAGCATTATTAAAGCACATTGGGGTTTTATGTTACTATTATTTTAAAACATATCTGCATTTTATACAGACGCGTTGTGTTAGGATATGTGAACACCCGCTAGGCTTTATGAAAACTGTGACGATTTGAATCTTTGTTAATTACGTCGCTGTATATTATTGACAATTCAAATGGGACAAATCGTAATAATTACAACACTCGTTTTCTGATAGAGAGAAATTACTGACTCTCAACGACCTGAAAGCACCTGTATAAAAAGCCATGATTTGTTCAGATCTGAAACTTATGTTTATGGACAGCACAAAACGTCGACCAGACTGCGACACAGTGGTTGCCAGGATCAGGTTGGGTTACCGTTACCTGTGGCAGGTGGCTACAGGTGACGAATCTGCCAATCCTGAGTACTCCAGGTGCAAACTCTGTGAGCAGGAACTGTGGCATGATCTCCAACACTACATCCGTTGTGGTATTCAGACCCGTTGGTATAAGGTACCTGAAGCTTTGCAATTACTTCATTCACTCTCGTGTTCTTGAGGATATCCTCATATTGCATCCAAAATTTACCAGTGCAGACAACTTATCACATGCCTCTGTATGACTAACCATCCAGTGTGATGGGGATTTTTAGCATCACGTAGCTAGTTTTTTTTTTTTTTTTTAACACTGTACTCCCCTTCATAGTCTAGGGTAGCTGCACAAATGCAGATGTACCTAAATGCGTTAATAAAAAAAAATGACAATTCGGCCATGGGTTACTAACCATAACTTTTGTAATGCAATCAATTTGAAGACTGTATTTTATAGTAATTTGAACAAACTCTTTTTTTTTCTTTATTAAATAATATACAATATAAAAATCACATATGTCAAACTGAACGCAATTTTCTTGATTAGCTCGCACCAATATAGTGAGGATGACTGCTTCGGGATATAATGATCTGGGAATGAGGCCTTAAATTCGATTAGCCTCTTGATATTTGCCATTGTTATTCACAGCTCTTACTAGCCACCGTAACTCACTCGGGTTATTATTATAAGCACCATAAATCTCGTGTCTATTTCATAGCACACAGAGATCACACTAACGTGATGCATCAAATGAACAAAACCCTGTCGTTGCTCAGTCGATTAAAGCAGTGTCTGGGATGCTCCCGGACGCAGGTTCGAATCCTCGTCACGGCCCTTGTGGATTCGTTCTATTTCATAGTTCATTTTCCTTGATAATGACACTTCCTGTAATTAGTTTGTTGGCAATAGACAGTAAGTACACTGCTTGTCTGACGTCAAAGTATTGACCACTATTACGATACCCATAAAACTGATAAGAGAAGAGAGATGTCTTCCGTTATGATAGCGACTTGTAGTTTGAGATACCACACCAGCTCACTAGAGCGCTAGGAGACTTTATCTCCATAGTTTACCCAGAGTTCATACAGGCCAGACGCCGCTAGGCTGCGTACAGCACATTTATAAATGACTCGCAATAGCTCTCACATGGCGTTTGTGATCATGAAACATCATCAGTTAAATGATGAATAGCATGTATAACGTACATGTATGTTAAGCAGTCCCCGTGGCGAAGTGGTACACACACACTTTCGTGTTTGGCCTGGGTTCGATATTTAACACTATGGGTCTTATAACAACGCTGCTAAACACTTGGCCAATGAGACTACTAAGTAGAAATAAGTACAACACCCCCTCCCCCTCTCCTCTCCTTTATATTCATGCGATATTGTTATTTTCTTTAATTAAATAAAATTAAAAATTCTTCATGTTTTAAGAATAAATTTCAGCTGATAACACGTTATTAAAATTCAGTGTGGGCGACGAAGCACCCGACCCAGGGTGGTGAAAGTGGTTTGGCATGGCAATGGTGATAATGGTAGTCGTGGTGGTAGTGGTAGCGATGGTAAAAGGTGGTAGTGGAGATGATCACGTGCTGCAAAGTAGTAATACAAAACAATAAAAGATATTGCTCCACAGATTTTTCTTTTGCAGGTCGGGGTTCAATCCCAGACTATCCAAGTGGATGAGCACCATTCCTTTCCCCCCGTCCAATCCCAAATCCTGCTCTTGACCCCCTTCCAAGTGCTATACAGTCGTAATGGCTTGGCGCTTTCTCCTGATATATTCCTCCCTCCCCAGCTGCTTCACCTCTGAGCTCTGTTTGCATGTCTTACCCCCCCCCCCCACACACAAGATGTAAGAAGAATAGAGGCTGGGGGGGGGGGTTATCTTGAGATGATTTCGGGGCTTAGTGTCCCCGCGGCCCGGTCCTCGATCAGGCTTCCACCCCCAGGAAGCAGCCCGTAACAGCTGTCTAACTCCCAGGTATCTATTTACTGCCAAGTAACAGGGGTACTTGGACCTCCCCGGTGGAGGTCTCCGCCTCCACCGGGGATCGAACCCGGAACCTCAGGACTAAGAATCCGAAACGCTGTCCACCCAGCTGTCAGGCGCCATTAACTGCTCCCCTTGTTGGAAGCAAAAGCAGTAAGGTGCAGCATGGGATATGGGGAAAACGGACCTTACTCTTACATTTGTCACTCCGTAAAAAATCCAACTTCCAAACTTAACCAGAAACTGTGTGTGTGTGTGTGTGTGTGTGTGTGTGTGTGTGTGTGTGTGTGTGTGTGTGTGTGTGTGTGTGTGTGTGTGTGTGTGTGTGTGTGAGAGAGAAATATATATAGTAGCAGACATGAGAAAATTAGGTTGGGAGTCGGTATACAAGAGTATAATTAGACAATCGACGGTTAGAAAGGCGGGTTCCAAGAGCTAACAGCTCGATCCTGCAGCCATAAATAGTAAATACACACACACACACACACACGGGAAGCAGCCCGTTGCAGCTTGTCTAATTCCCTGGTACCTATTTACTGCTAGATGAACAGAGGCATCAGGTGAAAGAAACCCGTCCCATTTGCTTTTGCCTTGGCTGGGAATCGAACCCGGGGCCCTTTGGACAACTACCCCCCGAGCAAGCGTGCGTGTCAGTGTACATATCTAAATATTCATACACCGCCTAAGTAAAACGAGAAATAAGCAACACTTAGTGGGCCAGCCAGTCTTAGAACCCTGCACAAAAAAGTGTACATATGTCGTTGGTCATGTAATATATACATATGTACTGCATATACCCATATATAACATAATCTACATCAAAAAACTTAATTTCCTTTCATAGCATTTTTAAAATAACTTTTAATTAAAAATTTTGCCCGAAACGCTATGCGTGCTAGTGGCTTTACAAGGCTGTAAAATCAACATAACCCCCAATGTACCTTCTTGTATATAAATAAATAAAAATACAATAATTTCTTTGCGTTATTTATGCGGCTTAAATGTATACATACACACACACACACACACACACACACACACACACACACACACACACACACACACACACACACACACACACACACACATCAACAATCATTTAATTTCTCTCTCGTGGCAGGAACCGAGGGAGTATGACGAGGTGGTGCCTTCCTGCAATGGTCATTACGATGGGGAGCCTGTGAGTATCAATTCCTGTTCGTTTCTCTATGGGAGCTACCCAAGATACATAGCTTTATATTTTCTTAAGACGTAATGGCATTAAGGACGTGTACCCTTTACCCCCCTATTAGTTGTGTAAACTAACCTCTGTTGATCCGAGAATGATGTACTTATCTAGTTATACTCACCTAGTTGTGCTTGCGGGGGTTGAGCTTTGACTCTCTGGTCTCGCCTTTCAGCCGTCAATCTACTGGTGTACGGATTCCTAAGGCTACTGGGCTCTTATCATATCTACATTTGAAACTGTGTATGGAGTCAGCCTCCACCACATCACTTCCTAGTGCATTTCATTTACTAACCACTCTGACACTGAAAAAGTTCTTTCTAATGTCCCTGTGGCTCATTTGGGTACTCAGTTTCCACCTGTGTCCCCTTGTGCGTGTACCACCGGTGTTAAATAATCCATCCCTGTCTACCCTGTCAATTCCCCTGAGGATTTTGTATGTGGTGATAATGTCTCCCCGATCTCTTGTGTCTTCCAGCGACGTGAAGTGCAGTTCCCTCAGTTTTTCCTCGTAACTCATGCCTCTTAGTTCTGGGACTAGCCTAGTGGCATACCTCTGAACTTTTTCCAGCTTCGTCTTGTGCTTGACAAGGTACGGGCTCCATGCTGCGGTCGCATACTCCAGAACTGGCCTTACATACGTATACGAATATATGGCAACCTATCTTATTACTAAGGATAAAATACCTGAAATCCTTGCACTGTATCCATATTTCGCTCCCAGTAGATAAACGACATATGAGATTAAGAAACAAGTAGTGTATTGTGAAGACTAATAATAAACAGCAGCTCCCCTATGACTCTGTAATATCTCCATTGCTCAAACAATTATGTATTAGCGATAAGACCTACCATTAATGTATAATGACGTACTGTAAATATATAGCTCTTGAAATAGAACATTCTCTGTAACTAGCTGACATTGTAATTATAACGTGCGAAGGATAGATGAAAGTGTTTATGTAATAATCTCCGTTGAGGTCTGATAAAGACCTTGTGTGCCCCTCTGTAATGCTTTTTGCGCTACCGCTCACAGGATGAGTATGGGGTGCAAAATAAACTAGCTGCCTCCGGTGGCAACAAAATCAATACGTGGTATTAAGGCTCTGAAAGATTCCTTATACAGGTTTCCAAAGGCAGTTCTGATGTGTAAACTAACCTCTGTTGACCAGGGAATGATGTGTAAACTAACCTCTGTTGACTAGTGATGTGTAAACGTGTCTCTGATGATTTGCTGTGGTGTTAAATGCTGATGCAGTGGCATTCCTTCTGCTGCCCTCGTATGAGCACCTCTTGCTGATCTCAGCTTGATGCTGAGGATATCTTGGACTCTATCTATATAGATAACGTAGTAGTGACACGTATAAAAGTGTATGTAAGCTTACCTTGGCTGGTTTCTGTAGCGTTGCTTGTGATATGATGGTAGAGGTGGGTAGGCCCGGCGCGGCGTTTCTGCTGACTTCAGTGGTATCTGCGGTATACCAGGATACAAACTGCTTTAAAACCCTTCTCTCGCCTCATTATCGCTACCAAACAACGAGGGAGGGGGGAAATAACACTAACTGCACAATATCATTCTAATCAAAGCTCACTCGAGAGAGAATTGAAGCCTCATAATATGAACATCGTAACACAAGGACCAGGATGTAGAGCAGGTCTTAACGAAAAACATAAAAATATTTGTATTAAATGATGAACGATTATTTAAAAAAAATTGTGGCAGGGAATAAGGTGGTAAAAGCGATAATTTAGCAGTGAATAATTAATAGGTGTGGGGGACCGAGGAGCCTATGCTGGGGACTTACTGGGTTTATGCGCAGTGTGTTCTTGATCACCTTCGCCGCCCCTTATCAACTCGTCCTCGTGGTGGTCGTGGGTGTCGTGGAGATGGGCACCACCGTGAAGCGGAGGACTGAGCGTGGTGAGGAGTGCATCTCTCCTCTGGCGGTCGTTTCGGCGGTTGCTGTTGATTGGGTAAGGCCTTTCGTTGTGATGGGCGTGGTGATTGCCGTCGTCGTGTTCAGCGTGATCCTTAGAGTTGCTGTGGTCGTCCCCGAGGTGGTTGCTCCGTCCGTGGTCGTTCCACGCGTCCTTGTTATCCACAGCAGCGTGTTTGGGGTCGTCGCCGGAGTGAGCGTGGTCGTCACCAAGGTGGGTACCGCACTTGTGGTCCTGCGGGTGGTGATCATGAGTAACGTGGTCGTCGCCTGCGTGGTGTTCGTGGGGGTGCGGGTCCACATCAACGCCCAAACTTTTTAAGAGCTTCTGCAGCCCCTCTGGCGTGATGACGCCCGCACCCTCAGAGTAACGCGCGAACAGCTCGCGGAGATGGGGATTGTCCTTAAGAATCTCCTGGTCACTGACGCCCGGGGCAGGGCAGGTTAACACCGTCGGGACGAAAATCAGTAGCCCCAGCAGCATGGCTACGAACGCCATCGGACGACGGAGGACCAAATGCGAACACCGCACTTGCTTGAGATGCGCCGTGAAGGTGTGGAAGGCAGGTGTGGCGGCGAAGGCGGTTGTGGCAATGAGGGCAGGACGCGGTGGGGCCGGCGACGTGACGTGCGATGCGGGTGCTGAAACAGAGCTGTGGGTGGCGCTCACCTTCTCGACTCCTCTCCTCTCCCCCGACTGTCGCCCATACCACACCAAACATTCACCTGAGACAAGAAGACACAGACCCGCTCACTTAAGTCAGATGGTCAATAAGAGGAAAAGGCTTGCGGGAGAAACCTAACAGGTCAAGAGGGTCATAAGTATGCGAAAGGGCACACTACCAGGTAGAGTGGACTGACAGGTGAGGTAGATGGCTGATATGTAGTTAGAAGGTTCCTTATTTATTAAAGACGTGAGGAAGGGCTAACTCATAAATGTGAAAGGAATAGTGGGTAGAGGTCCCTGATCCACAGGGCGCACTCATGCGTGTATAGGTGAGCTGACAAGTATTCACGGGTATGAGAAAGATACTCGTGTGAGAGGGCTCAGGAGGGCTCTCATTCCCAGCCATGAGGGAGGGCTTACTTACAGGTGTGATGTGGAGCAAATTTACAGACATGGAGGGTGTCCGCTCACACACATGGACGAAGGTCACCCACAGTCATGGGTGGTGGTCTAAAATATAGAGACAGTTATGATGAGGGGAAGGAGACAGAACAGAAGAAAAATGGACAATGAGTTGAGGAGGAAACAGAAGAAATTATACAAATGGAAGGAGGGAAGTGAGCAGAGAAACTTGCAGAGAGCCAGCAAAAATACACAAAGGAATCGGAGGAAGAGGAAATGAAGTAATACAGAGAAGCTAACCCGTTTACTGCTGGAGTACATGAAGGGAGAAAGGATGGGGGGGGGGGGGATTTCCTGGTGGGGATGGGGAAGCGGGAAGATGAATGGCGGAAAGGGTACGAGAAAGAGAGGGGAAGGAAAAATAAAGATGAGGGTGGGCGCGGAAAAAGGGGATGGATACGAGAGGAAGGGTAGGAATGTTATTTCCCCGTGTATATGTAGGGTAGGAATGAACGAGGGAGGGGAGGGCACCCAAATTGCCCTTATTAGTCTAAAGTAGTGAGGTTAAAAAAGACAGGGATGGGTACAGGGAAAGGGGGGAATACAGGATAAGGTAAGAATTGAGGAAGAAACATAGGAACAGTGGGATGTTGAGGGGGAAGAACGAGTCAAGGGGTGTGGGAATGGAAGGAAGGGGGCGAGAAACAAAGAGGGCTTAGAGTGAATGACGTATTAACCTTAATGTAACACTATATTGCATAAAATAAAAACACATTAAAAAACTAAATGAATAATGTCGGATTCAGAGACGTGTGTGAATCACGTTCACTGTAACGTAACATGTACGGCACTGCAGTACATAAATTGGATTTTACATCGAAATCTACAATCAATATAACAATTTAACATTTCTCACATCTTACTACTTTATACTAATAAGAAAAAAATTGCCCCCCCCCCCTCTCGGTACATTCGCAAAATTTTTCCAAGAGGCTACAAATTAATGTTTACAAAATAACAGGAAACCCTTTCACTATTTCAACCGTAAGTAAATACTAATATATTAACTTATAGTACGATTAGATACGATCCTATGTGATCAAAGGGCTTATATATAAGCATTTTGAAAATGTGTATGAATTAACACAGGTTAAAGATAAAAGTCTATAGCCTAGGCGATGCGAGCACAGCTTAAATTTGTTTGACGGTGTAAATACACTCGCTTAGTCGCAGCGTTTGTCAACAAAGCCCATAGAGGCCAGCATATACGAAACGGGCTTCCTCTCAAGCCAACTTGTTGACTGTTTTAAGATTCCAACAAGGAAATGCTTGTGTGGCGTATGTCGTGTGACGTCCAGTTATCACTTCCTGCGTATTGGAGCTTGTGGAGCTAGGCTGTACTGTAATCTGAAGTATTATTAAATTTGATAAGTACATCACAGATTTGTTGAATAACTATACATTTAATAGTTACAATGTAAAAGATAGAAATGTAACATTTATTTCTGTGTCATGACCATTATAAAAATATAAAGTGGAAACAAAAGTTGTGATTTTAGGAGAATTAAGGTGGAGATTGTTAATTGTTGACAGCAAAGTTGATTGTGGCTGTTGCTCAGCGACGTATTTTGTAAGAGGACGGGTTATTGTACATCGACGTCTTCAACAGTCTGATGCAGTCAAGTGGTAAAGGATGATCAAGGGTTCTTAAGCCCTTACCCTAAGGGGTACCTGCAGGTACCCCTTAGGTACTGCTTATAGGAAATATCCCCGCTGTGGTGAGGTATAGTCTGTGTTGCGACGAGGTACTGTTTTTCCAACAAGGTCTTCTTTTCAGTCAGAAGCGGCCCCATTGTTAAGTTTTGTTGGCAAGGGATAGCGAGAGCAAGAAGCCATGGAGGGGACGCAAGCGACGTGACTTAGGACGCATGAGAGACCTTGTTCGTATTGACCCAACCAAACTCACGGGAGAGAATCTGGTCATCCACCGCCTTACCTGTTTCTACATCTCTGTAGTGATCCTCAGTCTAAATCCCTTTTCGTGAGTCTCGTAAACACACATCGTCATTCCGGTAGACACGCAGTTTGACTCCTTGATACACGCTGTGAGCTGTATAGACATACATGTCATTGCGTCAGACGCAAGTCGTCAGCCCGGCGGCTGCACGCCATCAGTCTAGTAGATTAGCGTCGTCAGCGCAGTTGACATGTTGTCAGCCCCATGAACGCAAGTCGGCCTGCAAGACGCATGCCATCAGCTGGCAGATACCTGTCGTCGTTGTTGTTGTTTTTAGATTCAGCTACTCAGAACAAAAAGTTCAAAGTACGGCCTATAGTGAACTCGTAAAAAGATGCCTGTCGTTATCGTTGGCTTATAAGGAAAAAGATGAGCTTTTAGGTGAGAGGTAAAAAATTCACGATAAAGTTACTAGACTTTCACACGAGAAAGGATCGGTTTCTGGGTGGTGTAGGAGCTGCAACTCCCTCACAGATGTGATATTTTCAATATTTTTTTACCGAGGGTAACCTCACTCGAGCACGACAACAAATTTAAAGTAAAATCCATAACAGCTGAAATGGCATCCGCATTAATAATCAGCCCGCCCTCCTAAGATTTCCCAACATCAAGAAACTATCGGACTAAAGTGCCCTTATCCTAACTTACCAGAGGACCCCAAACCGAAAATGGGACGGTGTCTGCAAGGGACGAAATGTCGTCGTCCCTTCACTTTCTAGTGTGTGGTTCGGTCAACATGGAACGGTATGCAGGCGATGTATCACAATAACGTGGCTAAAATATGTTGACCAGACCACACACTAGAAGGTGAAGGGACGACGACGTTTCGGTCCGTCCTGGACCATTCTCAAGTCGATCCAGAGTATCGACGGTATGTCATGTCGACGGTATGGGACGGTATGTCAATTTTGCGAGACGCTGACATTTTCTAGTACGACAATTTTTGGCCTTATTACCTACATCACAGTTTTGAGTGTGAATGTGCGTGGGAAGCAGGCATCACATTACAAGAACGCAGGTGGAGGGAGGGATTCTCAGGCTAAATTAAATATCAATATTATATTTATTTATCATTCAGCCAGAAGTCTGAAATAAAATCTATAGCAATTTTCAAATGTGGATTCGGAGATACTCACCAAAGACCACAATCAAATTACGGTATTTTAATGATAAATTGACAAATACCATATTTTATTTGTACGTACGTTACAAAGAGTACGTTCCGTAAAATGTACACATTGTATGGCACGGTGCAGACACAGAAACATTCCAAACTTGAATGCAATATCTTTGACCATCTTCCCATTAATTTAGTTGAAAACTGACTTTTGTAAAACTACCTAAGGGGGAAGAAAACTGACTTTTGTAAAACTACCTAAGGGGGAAGCAGGGGCTTCCCGCTGCTTCCATTGTCTCTTACATAAGGAAGACATATTTTTCATTGCATATTCATTGCTAGCCTAGTGGGCTCGCTGAGAACCTCGGCGAGGTGGACATGCTTATCAGTAATGTATTTAGGCTCTTGAGGGAACATGTACAGCCAAGAGAGAACCCCGAGCAGCGGCGACAAAGACGGACACCCAAAAAGTTGCTCGAACACTGCCCCTTTTATAAAGCACAACAATATCATGATGACTGTTAAGACGTCAGACCTCGCATTCTTTCGTGATTTTACGGAATGATGCACTGAGATTGTTGGCCATATACGAAAACACAGACAACCTGGTTGATACCTGGTTGATGGGGTTCTGGGAGTTCTTGTACTCCCCAAGCCCGGCCCGAGGCCAGGCTTGACTTGTGAGAGTTTGGTCAGAACATCATCTTTGTTTTGGTGAGAACATCTTGAGAGTTTGGTGAGGCGAGAACATCTTGACGGGGACTCTCTGGTGAGGTATATGATGTTATAAGCCAAAGAAAAAATATAAAGATGCCGGTGAGCTTTCTGGTAGAAGGTTTTGAGGATATTAGCTGTAATTAGGGATACAATTGTGACAGGAAATAAGAACAAATCCATGTTTTAGTGCTGGATACCTGCTGGATACAGTGACAACCACACAAGACAGTGTAGGGAGCAACACATTGCTAACCAAATTTAAGATAGCAGTTGAGCTAATTGGGACCATGGGAAGGATTCACCAGTGGCACTCTTGCCTTGAATTTCGTTCTTGGCAATGAACCACTTGTCTTGACAGTTGATGCCACTTGTCCAGGGCAAGTGGTATCAATTGCCCGCTGGACAAATATTGCACATAAAATGCAATATAGTTTTTGAATTACTGAGGATTATTGGAGGGGAGGAATGCAATTTTCAATAAATGCCAAAATTTAAAATGCAGTTTTTGAGAATAGTGGTATGGAGGCGTGTGCTGGGATGGTCACTATGTAGTCCTGACTATTGCAAGGGTATTTTTTTTTTAAATTACAAGGGTGTTGTGGAATAATTGTAGGTGTGTGGTCATACCAGTATTATTCTTCAGTAATACTGGTATGGTAGTATCAGTAGTAATATTGTGTTAGTACGTACTGGTAGTAATATTTTGGCACTGCCCACTGGGTACACCTAGGACAAAATAAAATAATATCCAAAAGGTGTATTCCACAAACAGCAGAAATATTAACAATAAAATCAACGAATTAAGA